ATTTAATACCCCCCAGAAAAGTTTCCAGAATCAGAAAATATTCCATTTATGACCATATATACAAAAAGCCTAAATAAAATTGCACTTATCCTCAGAAAGCAATGATGACCAACACAAGAAAATGTAACTAGGCATGGTGGCACATGACTGTAATCCTGGCAGAAAAGAAAATCTATCAATGTAATAAAATACATCTGCGGATTAAAGGATGAAAAATATCACATTTAACTCAGCACATACAGAAAAAGGAAATGATAAATTTTATTTATTTTTTATACTTATATTTTTGAGACAGGGTCTTGATATGTAGTTCAGGCTGACCTTGAGCTCACTGTGTAGCCCAGGCTGGCCTAGAATTTGTGGTGATCCTCCTGCCTCAACCTCTTGATTGCTGGGATTACAGATGTGTGCCACTATGCCCCACAAAATCTAATATCCATTTATGGTTAGGAAGAAAAAAAAAGCAGACACTCAGATGGAGACTCCCTTATTTTATAAAAATTACAAACCAGAAATCAATAGCACACATGCTACTTAATAGAAAAATATGAATGCATCTTTTAACTATCAAGAACAAGGAAAAAGACATTCACCACCAGGATTTGGGAGTTCTGGCCAATGTGTTAAGACAAGAAAAAAAAAAAGAAATTAGAGTTTAAATATCTACGTGTTGAAACCAAAGCTTCACTATCTTCAGATTAAAAAACAAAACTAAAATAATTAACAACTATTAATTGAGTTCAGAAAGTGGCTAAATACACAGTTTATCAAAATCAATGAAAGTGGAAACTGTGAGTGTTCCTTGTGGGGTTAATTTCCTCCGTGCAATGCCAATGGCTTCCTATCACAGAGCAAAACTTGAAAATATTCACACACCTTCTGAGGCCCTTTATGTCGGATCGAACTGTTTCTTTGGCCTCAGTCCCCTCAGAGTCTTGCACTACTCACGTACATGCCAGTTCATTTTGACCTCAGGGCACTCCCACAGGCTATTCCAGCTTCCAAGAATCTCTTCCCTGGCTTTTTGCATGACTGGCTCTTACACAGTGGGACTTCTGTCTGTGTGTCTCATCCCCATTCATTATTCCACCCCACAAATAGATTTTATTCCTAATGTTCCAGAGGTCACAACATCCTTAAATCTCCATCTTGGACCTCGGAGCCTGGCACACCGTGGGTCCACAGTCCATAACTGAAGCTGCACGCTCCATACTGCAGTCACAAGTGCCCCAACAGCCAACCACTCACCTCTCCGTAGGAGCCTCGCCAGGCTCCAGCTTGGGCCCCCGGCCACAGCCAGGCGAAGCAGACGGCTCAACTGGGTATCTAGACTCCGCATGGAGCCCAGCTCCACGGGGAGACCAGAGGGTAGGGAAGGCATCTTCGCAGGAGGAGACAAAAGCCAGGGCTTCTGAGACCAATAAAGACAGAGAGGGCTGGTGTGTGTGTGGGGAGGGGCGGCTAGGCGAGGAAGGGATTCAAGGGGTGTCTGAAGGGAAGGAAGGCGTCTGAATGAGAAAGGGATGGGCAGGGGTGGGGCTCCATACCAGAAGAGCGCGGGTCTAAGGGAGCCTGAGAGCTGAAGGTGAGCTACGGAAAGTGGGACAGGGAGAAAGGTCTTAGGGCTGGGGAAGGGCGTGCAAGGGTTGGAGAGGAGCTCCGAGGACGGGAAGGCTTGGGAGGAGCTGGACGGTTACTGTCTGCAGAAAAGGGGCCTACTGACCTGAGGCGGTCAGGTCCGCGGGCAGTGAGAGAGTGGGGTCGTGGGCAGAGGAAGGTCTCTATGTGGGGAGAGCTCCCCAGGCTGAGCAAGAGACTAGGGAAGGGAGAGGTCTGTGGGCTAGGGAAAGCTTCTGCAGAAGCTGGGGTTTCTAAGGGGCTGAGACAGGAGCAGTCTGGGCAATTTGGCGACATAGTGAGGTTGTCAAAAAAAGAAAAAAAGAGGACTAGGGATGTAGTTTAGTGCCAAGGCCCTGGGTTCAATCCCCAGGCAGTGCAGGTTAGGTAGGGGAGTGGGAGCCCGGACTTTGGAAGGAGGGGGCGGAGCGGGCCTGAGGGCGGAGTCTCAGACTGGAGGAGGGGGTCTGGTGACATGCTGAGGACCCTAAAAGCTATAAAAAACCTTTCCGCCTAGACTCAGGTCCAGGTGGCTTTGTACCTACCGTTGGGCAAGACAGTGGCCCCTAGGTGCTACCACGTGACCCTGATGAGCCAATGGTTGTCTGGGCAGGAATCCTGGGCGCATGCGCATTAGCGGTCTCCTGACTTGCATGCTAACTTCCTTTTCCTCAGAGAGGTGCCTGGGGCCCTAGGATGACTGCAAAAAGAAGCATCTTTGTACCACAGTTTCCAACTGTGTTCTGGACGTTCCTCCTTTGTTGCCCGAACCCCAGAGCTTTTTTGGGCGGTGGGGGCAGGGGACTCTTTCTGACCTCTGCTGCATTCTTGGCTGTCTTCCCTTGCTCTTCCCTCGCTCGCGTTCCTGCCTCTCCGCTGAGCGCCGTACCTAAGAATTCCACAGCACACCTCCCCCTGGATGTCCCCCGCGGTCTGTCACACCCACCAGTTCTCATAATGGCCTCAGAATCTCTCCCAGACTCTTCTCTCCGGTCTCTTTCACAGACTTGTCCTCGAAGACCCTCTTTGCCAGTCAGAGGCCTGAGCTTTGAGCTGGCTACGTCCTTCCCATAGGACCCATGAGTCCCTCCAGACTCCCTGCCTTGTCCTAGCCTGTCTCTTCTCTCCAGTCCATCCTCCACATGTCAGCCATCGGGCTCTTCTCTTGACCCTTTTTATCTCCTACCTGAAACATCTGCTGACTCCGCAGTGGCCTTGGTTCACAGCCCCCACCCTACCCTCTGGCATGTGAGACTGCAACCTCTGGCCCTGCACATCCCTCTGTCCTTGTCTCCCGGGGAATCGAACTCATGACCTTGTGCTTGCTAGGCGGGCGCTGTGCCACTGAAGTATATCCGCGGTCCTCTTAAAAATTCTTGGATACTCTCTTGATCACCCTAGGGTGGCTCAGGTGCCACTTCCAGCCTTCCATACACTCCTCTATGGAGCAGGACCGAGGGTGTCTTTGTCACTGTTGTGTTCCCAGCCTTATTCACCTCAGAATCTAGTTCAAAAAGAGCTTTATTTGATGCTTATTAACTGAGAAAGGGTTTGGCTCTTTCCCCTGTCTCTCCCTGGGCATGTGGCCTCGGACCAGCCTTTTGTCTCCAGTGTCTCAGTGTCTTGCTCTTCACCTGTGCTCTTTTGGGGAGCCACTGAGATGAAGAAAGTTCCTGCATCAGTCATGGACCAGGAACATCCCAGGATGAGCTGACTCAGAGTCAGGAAGAGGCTCCGTTAGTCCTCCATCTATGTCCTTCCTATATGCCATGGCATCTAAGGATCTCCTCTGAGCCACAGGACTCCCTCCGCCCCCAGGTAAGGCTGGATGAAGTCAAGATGTCCTCCCCCAAAGAACCAGCTTCAGTTCAGTTCAGCAGCAAGAACTTTATTTACCAGATGACCCCAGGGGCGCTAAGAGGAGACCCTTGGGCTTCGCCCCAGCAGCCTCCGCCACAGTTCTTGGCTAAGCAGCATCTGTTCCCTGCGGGCACCCTGCAACACGCTGCGATTCTCCTGAGCCCTCCGGATCAGGTAGGGGATCACCTCTTCCAGGGAGCCATAGGGGATGGACTTGTATACTGCATAGCCAGCTTGCCCTGGGAAGGAGAATGTTGGCAGGGTACAGGTTCAGTCTTGGGGAGAGGCACCCCCAAACCTGTCTACAGCAGAAATTTCCATTTCTGAGAACATATCCAAAGTGGTCATACAAAACAATTTTTTTAATTGAAAATATTAAAAATCTAGGAGAAAGAATTTAAAAGAAATGTGTATTAATTTTTTTTTTTTTTACATTACTGTGGGTTGAACTCAGGGCCTTGTTTTTTTTTTTTACTTTGAGACAGGGTGTTTCTAAGTCACTAAATTCCTCAGCCTGTACCAAAACCCCCGAGGCAGGTTCAGTCTCCCACCTGGCAATGTGCCACATGGCTGAAGGAAGACAAAGTGAGACCTGCGGTTTCAAGGGCCTCTAAGATGATCATTTGTTCTCAGTGGAACAAAGGGCCAAGAGTTAGAGTGATCACGACTTTTATTGCTTGTGTCACTGGCAAGAAAGTAGGGTGTAGGTTGTGACTGAGTGTTCAGGAATAATGTGCAGGCATGGCTTACAAAGGAGGGACAAAGCACTCCAAACAAATAACTTGATGTTTGGAAAACCGGCATCTTTATTGTTGGGAAGGTATATTTCATTTTGAGTCTCATAGCCTCAGCAGAGAAGTTATCTCATGTCTTAGCCCTGGAATTTCACAGGGTCTTGCTTGAGCCTCCAGTCCACCCCTCAGTGGTAGGAGGCAATTCTGCCCCTTTGCTGCATTGAGATACATTGGTGTCTCAACTGGACTCGGTCACATTCTTTTTAGCCAATTAAGGGAACATTTGCTGCTATACAGCCTGCTCTGCGTATACAGGTGGGCAGGACAAAGATGAAGGCTAAACAGAACAAGGGCAAGGGGCTTCATTTCTCAGGGGAACATGGCTTGGTGGTCCCCCACAAGGCTGAACTTGAACCTGTGATCCTCCTGCCTCAGCCTCACAAAGTACTGAGATTACTGGCGTGTGCCTCCACACCCAGCAAGAAATTTTTTAAGGTTATTAAAATGCTGCCAAAACAGCAAGGAATTTGTTAATCCAAGAATTAGGAGAAAGTGAGGGGATCTGGGTGTGGTGGTGCACGCCTGTAATCCCAGCACTCAGGAGGCTGAGGCAGAAGGATTGCTGTGAGTTCAAGGCCAGCCTGGGCTACAAAGTGAGTTCAAGGCTAACCTGAACTGCAGAGCAAGACCCTATCTTGAAAAGACAAGAAAGGAAGGAAAGAAGGAAGGAAGGAAAGAAGGAA